GAGAGAGAGAGAGAGAGAGAGAGAGAGAGAGAGAGAGAGAATTAGAAAAAGAAAGAAGCCGAAGCTAGGCAGCCCTGGTTTTTCGCACCAGCCACTTGCATGACCCTAGCCAAGTGCATTGTTTCCTCACTTCAGGGTTCAGAATAGCTACTTTTTTGTGGATCTATAAAGTCCATCAGCTAAGCCTGGAGCCTGGGTCCTATCACACAGGCCTCTATTAGTGGCATCCTTTTAAGATATTATTGTGGGTCCCACACCCTTTTATCACCATGGAGGGGCCACCCAGGCAACTTTTCGTGTTGTTGGGTAGACACTCCTCAGCCCCTGATATCTCTGCAGAAAACACTTCTTGGCTATTTGCCATCATAGAAATCATTTCTACCTATTTGTCCTGAAGATGTGTTTTATTTATAAATCATTTCTATGCTTACAAAAGAATTCTCTAAAAGCTCAGTTTTCCTCTGGCCCTGAGCAGGGATGAGGGATATAGCATATTATTACTTTATAAGAGATGAATAATAAAAATAAGTCATAAAACAGCCCTGACAATATAGCAGTCAATAAAAGCTTGCTTAAAGCAAAGCTGTCTGCTGACTATTATTCCACTGCGGCAAGTTTGCTGAGAGGACCACTCTCAAGCTCTTTTTAATTGAAAAAGTGATGCATGTGTATGGTAGATACACAAGAGACTGTTGTGTCTTCCCTGGATATACCACTGTTAAGAATTCCTGTGTATTGTGCCCATTCTAACCTCTGTGTAAATCCTCTCTTTAAACACAGAAGGGTTTACAGCCTTCAGTGGCTTCTAGCCCAGCTCTGACACAGTTCTCCTGAGCCCAGGGCTCGGAGCCCACTGGGCAGACGGGTCCATTTCTGGGGCCCTCCAAGTCTGGAGTGCTGCGGTACCAGCGAAAGGCTTGGGCAACGCTGCTCCACGCCAGGCTCTGCCCTCTCTCCGGAGCCACGACCCTCGACCCCTGCCAACCTGCAGAGAAGGTACCCAGACGCTCCAACACCAACCACACATGCCTCAGTTTCCCAATTTTTTTTTTTTTTTTTCCAATTTGTAAAAGGGGAGAACACCAGTCGGGCTCTGAAGCTTGCGAATGACACAAAGACCAGCTCGGAGGGTGGCGGGCTCGAGAGGGGTTTTGCAGCCAGCTCCTACCCAGCAGGTGAAATACTAGCAGCGCGCCTTCCGGGCTTAGTGACCGCCGCCCTCGGCGCAAAAGCTTTTCTTTGCGCCTCGACGCCTGCCCTTCTCCCTTTCCGTTCCCTCTCTGGAGTTTTCCACTGCAGGATCCCTCGCCAGCCTCTCAATTTTCTCTCCCACCCTGCGGGCCTCTTCCTTCTCCCACCTCTTCGCTTCCTCTGCTGGTCCCGCCCCCTGTTCCTCCCTCCTATTTCCCGCCCTCTACCCTCGCCCCTCCCCTACCCAGCCGCCCC